AACTTTTTGAAGTTCGTTTTCTGCCACTGGGCAGCCATTTTGGGTGTCCACTGTAAATACAACACCTGCTCAATTCAGTCCAGGGATGTTTGGCCCTATCATTTATAAACCAAAAAAACCTGACATACCGACCCTTGGTTTTTATGGAATCAAACATTTTTTAAGCCTAATTCAAAATACATGCCCTGAAACAACTGAAATCAAAAGAAGCAAATTATTTGAATTGAATGATAACATGGAATTTCATACATTTAGTATAGTGTCAAAGTCTACCGGAAAAATTTGAAAATAAATAATGAAATACTATGGACAATAAAGTTTTTTTCTAATGTTTTGATATTAAAAGATTTTTTTAAAAAGTGAAGAAAAAAAATTGTGGGTCCTCTAATATCAATGTGGGCTAGTAAAATTTGTGAAGTTGGGGGCCCACATGGCCCCTAAGGTTTAAATTTTATTTGCAACTCTGGATACACCGATACATACCGATATTTTCTTATACGATACGGTTTACGATACGTGCATCAAAATATCGGAAGGAAACGATATACAAATGACCTACCAAAAAATGGCGGCTTGTACGAAACGAAGAGATGATATTGATATTGAAAACACACTTTAGAACCAATAAGTCATAGATATGGGGTAAATCATATTCACTTTTAAGCATCCTCGGTAGATGGGAAAAGAAAAGTTCAGTATGTTATACACAGAAAGTAGCATTTTCACAACTGTTACAGTTGATATTATAGTCCATACCAACAGCTAATAACGAAGCATGGATTCTCTAATTTCAAGTATTTGAAATTTTGAAGCAAATTATGGATTATTATTTTTTTGTAAACTTAACTTGGTTACAGACTTTCAGTAATTAGTAATAATCTACCTGTTATTTTTTAAATGAATTTTTAGTCAGTGTTCTTGTAATCAACTTGTTTATAGATACTGTAAACGTATTACATTTAGCTATGTATTCTTTTTAGCGCCTTTCGCGGAAAGCAGCCTCCGCTAAATCAAGTACATCGCTAAATGCTTTGTGTATAAAGGTTTATGTAAAGCACATTCAAAAAGCGCTAAATCAAATCTACGCCAACTTGTTGAAAATTCAATTTCCGCCAAATATCGTACATGCCAAATATAATACATTTACAGTATTTGTTAAATGAATAAGTACAAGTTATTGCTTTTGCAAATTTCTAGTCAATGAAATTGATGAACTCCAAATATTAATTTCAAAGCACATGATTTGATATAAAGAATATTTTGTTGATTTAAAGTCAAAACAAAAAAATAAAATAAAATACAAAGTTTTTTTTTTCAAAATAGTCTGTTTTATTATTTATCATAATATCGAGATACGTATCGTATCATGTTATATTTTCAAGATACGTATCGTATTGCAAGATTTGTGTATCATCCCACCCCTACTATAAGGATGGGTTTGGATCACTTTCGGGTTTAAACTTAAATAATAAACTGATTTCTGCTTTTTCCAAGCTGCAGTGGTCAGGTGAGCGATGTGGCCCATGGGCCTCTTGTTCATAAATTCTTTGAAAATCTTCTTCTCTGCTCCTGGGTATAAAACAAACTAAACAAGTACATAATTATGTTGAATAAGGCTAAACTCTTCCAAAATTGTGAATTTCATGGCCTCAGGGTCAGGGGTTCTGGGGATAGGGTGGGGCTGTATTGATTATATAGTGAAAATACATTAACTTCTCTGCTCCTTAGTATTAAATCAATGAACTCTGTACATAGTTATGATGAGGAAGGATGTCTCTTTCAGATTTGTAAATTTCAGGGCCCCAGGGTCAGGGGTGTTGGTGTAAGGGTGGGGCTCTAATGAATATATAGTGAAAATGCATGAAATCTTCAAAAACCTTTTCTATGGAACGCCATCACTGCCTTATAGCATACAACTATGCATTTATTATGTCAATTAATCATAACTTGATGTGAACATATCTTTACGTTATGTCAATTTTTTATGAGATGATGTAAAAATATCTTAACATCATGCCAATGCTGCATTACATGAAGTAAATACATCCTTTCATTATGTCAGCACTTCATAATTTGAAGTAAAAAATTGATTATGTGAAGTGATAATGTGTTTACACTGAGTTAAAACTTTATTACGTGAAATGAATGTTTCTTTACATCATTTCATTTTTTTAATATGTGAGGTCAAAATTGCATTACGTCAAGTAAATTGTGTTTTATAATTAAACTTATCATTACATGAAGTCAAAAATCCATTCCTTGTTAAGAGTGTATATTTCTATTATATCAAAGCATTAAAACGTGATATGGATTTATCTTTATTTTATGGCGAGAGCATCATGATGTGAGGTGAACACATCTTACCTTCATGTCAGTGCTTTATTACATGGTGTAAAAAGTGTATAACATAATGTGAACATATCTTTATATTATATCAACACTTTATTACATTATGTCAAAACTTCATACCGTGATGTGGATATATTATAACGTTATGTCAACTCTTTCTTATGTGATCTAAAAATAGCTTTATATTGTGTTAACTCTTTATCATGTTGATTCCAAAAGTGCATTACCTGATGTAAAAATACATTTACATTACCTCAAAGCTGTATATCTAGTATACAATGAATGTTGACGACCGTGTTTTAAAGACTGTTAAGGGGGGGGGGGGGGGGTCCTGATTGATTAGGAAGTATAACAGCCCCCCCCCCCCCCCCTCTTTTCCCAGACATAACTTTACTATAGAAAAAGTAATGTTCATTTAAAGTACAGCCCTACCCCCACTTTTTGTTTAAGTATAGTCCACTGAGGGCAATGTAGTATATCTGAAAAAAAAAAAATTAGGACTGATCGAAGTTTGAACCCCCCCCCCCCTTTCCCGAAATAGGATTTTCGGGCTTGGACAATTTTTTTTGGCTTGTCAATTTTTTTCGGGCAAATTAATATTTTTTTTCTGGCTGACCTCCCCTTTTGAAAAAGATGCTATGTCACTGGAATTAGAAATTTTTTCAACCATTCTAGGGCCAGAATTCTATTACAAAAATCTACCAGTCCCTCATCTAAATCAATTGAATATGCCTTAGTTAGCATGCATGGGCACATATCAGTGGCGGATATGGGAATCTTGAACAAGGAAGGGGGACAGTATATGGTTGGCATAGGCGTCAGAACCGGGGGGGAGGGTGCTTAGCCCCCCCCCCCCCTTTCCACAGACACGTTGTAGTTTAGGTTGGAAGGTTGTTTTTTTGAAAAAAAATTGCTAGTGAAGTTCGAACATACCCCCCCCCCCTCTTCTTTTTGCTTGTCAGGTTTTTTATGAAAGTATAAAAAAAATTCTTACACTTAGACCCCCCAACACTTTCAATTTGCTTCCGACGCCAATGGTTGGAGACCAAGGAGGAAAGCAGAGAAGCTCTCAGGCTTTATAGTTTTATAGAAAAAAAGTTTCAACTTAATTCAGCTAAACTTAATGTGAAACTAATGCAATGTCCTACAAAGTAAAACCAATAAATTTATTAATTAAAAAAAAATTAAAAAGAAAAAGAAAAAAATTGCTGCACGACTCATAATATTTGATTTATTTAATCATCAGATTAAAGTAAACGCCATTGAATTTCGACGTGACTTTAATGCACAGTCGCAGTGTTAAGGCTTTGCACGTTTCAAGGTTGTCGGTCATTTGTCGCTTAAAGCTTTTATTAAAGATGACATTCCAAAATCGCTGAGAATTTCTTCTATGACAGTTTTCTCTCCTGCCAATTTTAGTGCTTTCGGAACACGGAAAATACGCTATGCTCATATAAAGGCCGAGGATACACGTGTTCGCATAACGTAATAGTGAATTGACATAATGTAGAAGAGTGCGCACAGTATGACATGAGCTTTTCACATAATATCATAAAGAATTGACATAATTCAATGAAAGGTTGACATAGTGCAATAGTAGTGTGGGTTAATGTCATAAAGAGTTGACATAATGTAATAGAAGGTTGACGCGATGCAAGGGTAGTGTGGGTTAATGTCATAAAGAGTTGACATAATATAATGGAAGGTTGACATAATGCTATAGTAGTGTGGGTTAATGTCATAAAGAGTTGACATAATGTAATGGAAGTTTGACACAATGCAATAGTAGTGTGAGTAAATGTCATAAAGTGTTGACATAATATAATGGAAGGTTGACACAATGCAATAGTAGTGCGAGTAAATGTCATAAAGTGTTGACATAATGTAGTGGAAGGTTGACGCAATGCAATGTTGTGTTCTGCTATAAGGCAGTGACGGCGTTCCATACTTTTCCTTTGCTCCTGGGTATTATGCAAATGTTCTAAGTACATGTTAATGAGGTGAAAGGTGCCTCTTCCAAAATGGTCAATTTCAGGGTCCCTTGGTCTGGGTTCTTGGGATGGGTTGGGGGTTACATAGTCTGAAAATAAATTAATGCTTTGAAATCTGCTTTTTGGTATTCATTTATGATGAAATAAAATTTATGATAGAATTTCCAGAAGTTTGAAATATGTGCCTCCAGGGTCAGTGGTTCCTGTGGGGTAGGATGCAAAACTGGTTATAAAGTGAAAATGCATTTTCTCTTGGTTACTCTAATCTACCTCTGTGAATTAAGTAACCAAAGTAAGCAAAGTAAGTGTGTGGTTATAATAAGCAATATTGCCTCTCTCAAAATTTTGAATTTCATGGCCTTTGATTTAAAACATGAACCAATTCAATTGTTGGAAAGTTGTTACATGATACTCAGGTGACCTATAAGGCCCGTGGGCCTCTTGTTATCTTTATCCATCTTTTAAAATGTCTTTGAGTTCTTCCATCCTTTTCCTTTTCTTCTTCAAATTTCAAGAATTAGCTTATTAATATTATAGTATTAGGTGATATTAAAAACAGCAGTGTTTATTGCACATGTGTTCTTGATCCCTAAACAAATATTTTGCTTTCTATGTACTACATGTTTTTAAAAAAATCCATTGTATAATCAAACATTTTAGTTGAAAGTATTGGTTCCTAAAATGGGTGGCATCAGTGATTTGTGTGCAGCAGTAGGTGAAATGATGTCTTCTGATCCATGTAAGGTTAGTCATTTGTAAAAATGTTTCATGTGTTCTCTTCATACAGCCTCCGTAGCATATTTGACTTATTGATTATCTAGTGAAAATGCAATAATTCTTTGAAAATCTTTTTCTTTGTTCCCGGATATTAAACGAACTAACTAAATACATAATTATGCTGAGCATGGATCAATCTTCCAGAATTGTGAATTTCAAGGCCCCTGGATTGATTATTGCAACCACTATTGAAATAACGACCACTATTGAAATAATTATTTCAATAGTGGTTGAGAGTGCATTTCAATAACAAACATAGTATGTAACCACTATTGAAATAATCATTTCATAGTGGTTGAGAGTGCATTTTAATAACAAACATAGTATGCAACCACTATTGAAATAATCATTTCATAGTGGTTAAGAGTGCATTTTGATAACAAACGTAGTATGCAACCACTATTGAAATAATTATTTCAATAGTGGTTGAGAGTGCATTTCAATAACAAACATAGTTTGGAAACACTATTGAAATACGACCACTATTGAAATAATTATTTCAAAATTGGTTGAGGGTGCATTTCAATACCAAACATATGGTTGCAACCACTATTGAAATAACGTTCACATTTGAAATAAAGTTTTAAATAGTATTCAAATAATGTTTTCAAAAGTGATTTAAAATAATTATTTTGATAGTTGCTGATAATTAACCACATTGCAAGACTTATTGAAATAACTTAACTATTAAAAATACAAGGGTTAATGGTTCTTTATGTTCTCCAGCATTTCTAATTATGTATTAAACATTTATAAAATAAATTCCAATAAACATTATTAAACAAAAATTTCAATGTTAGATTTATAATTGTTTGTCTTTTGGTATATTATAATATTTGATAACATGACACCAAATATAAAAAATATGGACACTGTGACATTACTTTTGGCGGACAACTCAAATGGGTTCTATTCTAAATTTTTTTTTGATTAAAAATATCCATGTTTTCATCAGCAAGTTTGTACACAAAATTATCAGCCTTCTTCCTTCATTACAATGAAGTCTAAATATTCTAATTTCTATATTTACATCTATTTATGGTCCTTTCCTTTCAAAATCAATGACAAAAATGAATTTAATATTATACAATTATTGCTGGTTTTTGAGGTCAATACAATGATTTAGCCATCTGAGGAGTACAATATTCACCGAGCCCGAAGGGCGAGGTGAATATTGTACTTCGAAGATGGCTAAATCATTGTATTGACCTCAAAAACCAGCAATAATTGTTTTATTATATGATTCACTGATAAAATGATACAGTTCATTACTTGTTAACTTGCATCTAATTAAGTCCTAGCCAAATACAAGAGAGAAACAGAATTAAAATGTGAATAAACGTTACCAGTCGTATAAATTTGAAATGGTTTTTTTTTTATCAATTTCAGTTGCCATGAAAAAAATAATAATGTCAGTCTTTTTATAGGATAGATTTTGAAAGGATGGAGTACATGTATTATCAGGGAAAACTGACTGCTTAAAAGTAAAAAAAAATTGTTCATTAAAAGTGTTGGAGGGGGGTCCCTGCATTTCTAATTACCACCCTCACCCTAAAATATATATTCGCTTATGTTTTTTTCACATGAAAAAAAAATCACAGTCGTTTAAATAGCTTTACAAAACAAATTGTATAAATTTGGAATTTACCAAAATATTTTTAGATAAATTTATAGGAAATAAATACATGTATTGACCTGGAACGTCACGTGCAGGTCAATACAACGTAGTATTTTTCTAACATAGTTGGATCTCAGCCAATCAGAGAGATGGAAATTATTCAATCATATAATAAAACAAATTATTTCAAAATTGCATATATAAACTGATTGCAAACTGTTGGTTTTCGCAGATTCGGCCAGATTCTGCGGGAACTTGTTTATAACATTTGCATACATGTTTCAATTATAGGTAGGTTAGTATAATAAAAAGTGTCTATGTATAAATTGAAATTTCTACAAACAAGGAAAACAAAACAACTTTAGTTATCATATTTTAAACTCAATAAATTAGTTTATTGTGTTAGAAAATGGAATGTGTAATTCATCTTTATATTTGTTTTCATATTTGGGATACTTCTGTAGAGCTTGCAATGTGGTTTGGTATTGAAATCATTGTTGGTAACAATTAATTATTTTAATTTCTATTGGAATCATTGTTTAAAGCACTCTTGAAACCAATACATGTATTTCAATCACTTTAGAAATCTATATGTTAATCACTATTGAAATATTTATTTCAAAAGTGAACATTATTTCAACACTGGTTATTTACAACCTATGTTTGGTATTGAAATGCATTTGCAACCACCATTGAAATAATTATTTCAATAGTTGTAGTATTTCAATAGAGTTTCTCTCTGACAGAAATATTACTGGTCTACAAAGCATAACTGATGCATGCTATTAAAGAAGAATTATATGTGTATCTTCAGCTTTTCATTTTGTTATATGCAGAGATACTGTTAGCATGGCTGAAACAGATGTAGATTTGCAAAAGGCTCTGGATTATATTTATTTGTATTGTTCACAATGGAAACTTAATGTTAATATTAGTAAGACAAAAATTCTAGTGTTTGCTAAAGGACCAATGTCAAAAAAGGTATTTTATTACAATTGAATAATAGTGCAATTGAAAATGTAAAAGAATTTAAGTATCTTGAGATAATATTTTCATGCTCAGGCTCATTTCGTAAGGCCAAAAAAACATTTATGTGAACAAGCACAGATAAGGAAGATAAGTTATAAGGAAGATAAGACAATTTAACTTACCGACTGAATGTCAGTTAGATCTTTTTGATAAAGTTGTTGTTCCAATTTTGACTTATTGTTGTGAAATTTGGGGTTATGAAAACCTTGACATCATTGAACATGTACATTTGAAATTTTTAAAACATATTTTCCATTTAATGAGTAGTACGCCCTCGTATATGGTGTATGGGGAGACTGGGTGATTCCCATTGTATATTATTTTCACAAGAATGATCTCCTACTGGTTAAAATTGCTTACCCCAAATTCTTCAGAAAACAAAATAGTTTGTGTTTTGTATAAACATCTATGTTCTCAATATTTTCAAGGAGGTCCAAAAAACCCATGGGTAGATTTCATTTATAAAATTTTAACTTCTTGTGGGTTCTCCAACATTTGGTATGAACATATAAGTCCCATTGACAGGAATTGGGTACTTGCAGCAGTGAAGCAAAGATTAAGAGATCAATTTATCCAAAAATGGCATGATAGTGATATTAATAATTCATCAAAAGGTCAAATTTGCAAAATGTTTAAGAGTGATTTTGGATGTGAAAAATATCTAAGTATTTTTAACTAGTAAACTGCAAAAATACTAATAAAATTTAAAACCCCAAACCACCACCTCCATATTGAAACTGGTAGATGGTCAAATATTCCTTTAGATGAAAAAGTTTGTAAATTGTGTAATACAGGGCAAATAGCAGACGAATTTCATTTCATTTTAGAATGTAAAACATTGAATAGTATGAGAAAGAATCTTTTACATCCCAGATTTTGTAAAATGCCAAATACACTTAAGTTTTGTGAAATTATGTCAAAGACAAATTTAAAATCTTTAAAAAAACCTTTGTATATTTATATCTAAAATAAACGACACCGTCTGTCCTCCATAATTCAGATGTTACCATACCATCTTTTTTTTTTTTTATTCTTTTTTTCTATGTATGTTTTTTGCTATACTTTGCACATATGTTATGCCTCTCATTTATGCTATTGTATCATAATTAGGGCTTATTGTTTTGTTATTATTATTATTATTATTATTATACCTAACACTTTTATGTCAAGGATTTAAAGAAAACCACTAAATATATGTAATTTAAACAAAACCATTAAACAGAACATCTAAAAGTCTCCCATACATAAGGTTTTGTACTTCCGGAAACATCAATTCAGGTATTTATAAGTCAGAAACTAAATTTTCTTTGAAAGCCAAAACATTCCTTATTTTGCATGCAATTTGGTTCCAAATTTTGGAATATATTCCTCAAAGTAATACCGTAAATCTGGAAATTTTTGCTGTAGATAAATTTTTAGCAAATTTGCGAGTTCATTGCATTCGCAAAAATATTTTTCTTAAAAATAAATTACTAATAAGTAAATGTAAACAAAGCAGTGGTGATTCGCAAAATTTTGAAACGTAAAAATTAATCAACACCATTTTGACCCGAATTCGCAAAATAAAATCGATGTAAAAATTTCCAGATTTACGGTATCTACAAAAAAGTCATCGTTAGGGTTCTTGCACCTATGATACAATTTTGTGATATAGGACTCGAAAGTTAAGAAAAGGGGGGATTGGCATTTTAAAAATTAAAAACAATGTAGGAAATTTATTTTGAAGACTACATATTGCTTATTGAAGTAATTAAAGTCAGTAATGTAAGTTTCATGTCCATCAGAGCAGAACTTCCGGTTCTATAAGTCTTTGAAATTGTCTATGGGAGTTTCTATAGTAAAAAAAAATTTATTTATGTTCCAATATCTCAAAAGGGAAGCAAACAATTCGTATAATATTTACAGGGAATAATTGATTTCGAATTGTCTTCAGGTGATTAGATCAGGAAAACAAAATTCTCTCAGATAAAAGGGATTTTAGGGGTCAGTACAGAAAACAGCTTTTTGCCTGTAAGATTTCTATTTTGAGTTAAGCATAAGAAGGGCAATTCAAAAATTATGGGCCAGGGGTCACTTTTTGACTGCTTATAGGATTTTTAGAGGCCTGAAATATATTTCCAAGTAATTTCAAGAATAATCATGTAAGAGTTATCTCCCATTGCATATGTGTTTGGAGTCTAATATGCTCTCTACGTTTCAAATTTGGTATGCATATGAGGAGTACTTCCGGTTTTACGAGTCCTTTAAAATTGCCTATGAAGATATCTATGTTAAATTTGATATCACGCTATTCCATTATCTCAAGAGGGAAGCAAGCAATTCTTGTGATATTTCACATGAATAATGACTCAAGCATTGTCTGTAGGTAGTAAGGTCATGGAAATAAAAATCCCTTAAATACAAGGGATTTTAGGGGTCAGTACAGAGAACAGTTTTTTGCTTTTAACTTTTTTATTTTTCAACCAATCTTCAAACTAATTTTGGTTTTGCATCAATTATAAAAAGTATGAATTAAAAATTATTGTCCGTGGGGTCACTTTTTGACCTCTTATAGGAGTTTTAGACTATTGAAAAACAACATTTTTTGTATGTTTTAAATAATCATGAAAGAGTTATGTCTCTTTGAGTAGCAACTGATGGATTGTCTTCCCAAATCAGTATTGATCTCAAAAGAACTTTTGTGATTTTGAATCTTATGAATTTTCTATCATCTAATTGTGATTGTTCCTAAAGCTCTTGAATTTTCTGGGATCGAAAAGCCCTCAGTTTTTGTTGAACGACAAAAAGGTCTAGATATATTTATTATTTTTTCTACAATTATGACGACTAATTTATATATTGTACCTCATGTACCAGTGATGTTGGTGTGAGTGAAATAAATGAACTTGAACTTCCATACTATGTTTGTTATTGAAATGCACTCTCAACCACCATTGAAATAATTATTTCAATAGTGGTCGTATTTCAATAGTGGTTGCAACCTATGTTTGGTATAGAAATGCACTCTCAACCAGTATTGAAATAATAATTTCAATTCTGGTCGTATTTCAATGGTGGTTACATACTATGTTTGTTATTGAAACGCATTCTCAACTACTATTTAAATAACTACAAAAAGTATTTCAATAGTGGTCCTTATTTCAATGGAACAATGGTACCTTTTCCAAAATTTGGAAATGTGTGGGGGTGGGGGGTCTAATAAATACTGCAAATGAATTAATTCTTTGAAATCTGCTTCTATCATTATATTAATCAAACAATTATGATAAGCAATGGTACCTTTTCCAAAATTTGGAAATGTGTGGACCAAGGGTCAGGGGTTTTTGTTAATTGTGGGCACTACTGATTATTGCTGAATATTACTGATTATTTGAAATGCAATTTTTTTGTTCCCCTACTCTGTCTGCTATGGAAATAAACAGAAAATATATGGAAAAATATTTTGTATTACCCTTAAATGTAGATTCCCAAAAGATTGATATTTATTAACAGCTAACTTGACTTTTAATTTTGACTATCATCCAATCTCTAAGTGGATGCAAGAAGTTGGCACACAGGATGATATAAAGTTAAAAAAATCGAACATTTTCCCTTCTTGGTAACCATAGCAACAGTGTTGTTTTATTCATCAAATTTTATCAATATATGATATTTAACTTCAGTTCTAACAGATAAGACTATTCCAGTTGAGCTCTTTAATTTGTTTCTTGATTAAATGGCAATTTAATTTTTAATGCAGCAGGAAAAAATTCACTTTTAAGCACTGGTACTTTGTTTCCATGGTAACACTACAAAGTAGCAATTATACCCAATTTTTCTTATGGTTTTGGTGTTGCAAGGTCCTAAGCATTTTAAATGTATTCCAAATGTACCCTTGGTTACCACTTACTTAGAGAAATATTCTTAACAGTTTTTTCACAGTATAAGTGACATCAAGGTGTCATGTTTTTGTTAGAATGGTTTGTTTGCTTTTTCTAGTTTTTATTAAGCCACAGTCAGGGTTTAAAATGGCTGAAAATCTCGATTTTTCAAACTTTTCCGGCTGTTGCCATGACACTTAGCAACAAAATTTTGTTTGATATTTTTTTCTGGTGTCAAGTACTAAGCATGGGTGAAGTTTCATCAAAATCGGTGACTATGCGTGGCAACGAAGTTTAAGTGGTTACAGAGAATGGCTATTAAAAGTTGTTGCATGATGCTCAGGTGACCTAGCTATAGGACCCATGGGCTTCTTGTTGATTGATAAACTCTATGGCAGTCTTATACTATGTGTGGATTTTTTTGTGCATTTATGAACTATCATGCTTGATCTTTGTGTGAATGAAATACTGTATATGCTAGTAGCATATAAATAGCTGATATAGCTATATAAATAGCTGTAGTTACATCTTTAAAGAAGCTAAAAGCAGGCAACAATGCATTCCTTGGAACATTCTTGTTCTCATACAATTTTTCAAAGTATTGTTATGTAATAAATTGTGTTTCTGTCTGTTATCTTTTCTCGGGACTCAGCATTATTGATTAAGTTATAAAACATTTCTCTTCAGATGGTGGTTACAGATGTTTACAATCATAGATTTCACAAAATCTTCTCTCCTGGAGAAGCCCTTTCACACATCTTGGATAGAGATGATATTTTTATGTAAGTACCTAAGATAAAATTCTGTAGAAGTACTTTTTTTCCACGTGGTATTAATTTATGCTTTGTTCGCGTTCACAAATATTCCACGGAAATTTCTCCAAGCGTACTTTATATAAATGTAAGGCATACACTGACAGTCTAAGAAATCCGCAAAATTTTAAGCCCGCGGATTAATCGGAAATTGAGATTCCGTGGAATTATGACCCCGTGAAAAAAAGTACGTCTACAGTAATCAGTTTGATTAATAATTCAGTTGATTAATAAGCAAGCTTTAATTTGTCAAGCAATGTATTTCAACAATGAATTTAATAGCTACCCAAGTTATATTGTCTAACCTGGATGGGGTCAGTTTACACTTTATAAACCAAACATTAAATTCATTTCTTATAAATTTAATTTTCCACCATAATTACCGTATATACTCACCTATATGTCGGTATTTTGGGAGTAAAATTTTGGTCTTAAACTCTGTGTCCGACTTATAGGCAAGACATAAGGAGACTGGTATTTTTCTGGACGCTAAAATGTAGTATTTTATATGCATTTCTGACGATTATCTAAGACAATGTCTGGATATATATGATAATTGATGTATTCTTGTATTAAAAATAAATTACAAGTACATATTTTAATAATTTTATTTGTATAATTAAGTGAGCATTACTCACTTGTATTATTTTAATGAATAATGGTGTCTGAAAAATATAAATTGAATCCATTCAGATTATCTGGGCCAGAGGTCTACATCAATGTCTCATTGATGTTGTATGTATTTTAACAGCTATGAAGTGCCAGTATCTCCTACTGATAGTTCAGATACAATGCTAGTTCCAGTCTACATGAGAGAAAACAGGTAATTTTATTTTTAGTGTACATGTATAAATGTCACCTTAGCCAGTCTGTTGATAACCATCCATTCTACATCTGTTCATCAGTTATAAGTTAAAAAAAAAGACTTTTTCTATTCATATGTCGACAATATACCATATAATGGGTATTTTTTACATGCTACTACCCGGTAATTTTTACGAGTTTTATAAATCTGTAAAATTTAAACACGCAAAATTTCACAGAAGTAATAAAAATGCCCTATCTTAATTTTCAACATCATATGTATGAGAAAATCAGCTATCGTTGCCATTTAATTCAGTACCTATAGGCTAGAATTAGTACTGTTGGTGTTTTTAGCACTTTTAAATTGATCATCGATTAGGATCAAACAAGTTAATCTTAATTACCGCATAAGGTTACACATACATGTTTTACACATACAAACATCATCATTTACCTTGTTACTTTTACAAGACGCATAATTTCTGATAATGATTTAATTATTACAGATCTTCAAATTATACCCGTTTTTCAAAGTCGTTGACCCTTTCTTTTGTTTTGTTTGCATTCAGTAAAAATGTAACTTTTTAACACACTATAATAATGTCAAGTAAATCAGGATGGTTTGAGTTGTCCCTCTTTATATTTCTGGTAAAATGAAGACGGGCATGTTGTTCTCATTAATAATGATACTTAGCAGTGTTTTAATTGAAAAAATAAACAGGAATCTAAGAATGGCACATGATATATATAAAGGTAAATCAATGAACAAACATATAATTTAATGAAATTACATTCGATACAGGGGGAATAATTTCATTTTGATTTGTGCATCGGGTTTTTCAGACGCATTGGGCTTATTTGTATGTAACGCATTCAAAATGCTAAAACTTTTATCTGAAATTTCACCTCCAATGATTTTACTTTTTACGGACATGCTCAATACGTGAAAAATTAATGCGCAAGAATTTAAATTTCAGCCAAAATTGTAAAAAATTTACAGCAGTAAAAATAACACGTTATATGGTATCCCTGTGAGCAGATTTTCCCATTATTTCTCGACCTTGAAGAGCACACTGGGTGTGCCCGGTCGGCAGGGGATGCTCACTCATATGGCATCTGATCCCACCTCTAACGTTTTAGAGGTCTGTGTTTGATCTACTCCTGATTTGTATTGTTTGAAAGGAATTTTAAGCTTGAATGCTGTTTAATTGTTATCTCCATTCATTGCATCAGAAATGTGTTTTTGACCAGCAATTTCTGAGCTTGATATGAATCTGGCATAGATTTTGATACCATTTACAATTCACATTGAGTTTGAAATCTTAAAATTTGTTACTGAAAAAGAGAAATTGACAGAAAGTCATGCATATATACTTTTAAATAAATTGTAGACTGTATTACAAAATATTGACTTATTTAATCATTTAAATATATTTATATGCATAGTACAATCTTGTGTAAGATAAGCAACAGAATTATTTAGTTCAAACATTTTGCTGCATTTTTCCTGCACTCTGTATTTTGTCAAATCTGGCCAATTTTTATAAACTGGTGGTATCCAGTTTGGACAAATTACACTGTTACAATATTTAAAAAAAAATTCTTCTTAAGAAGCGCTAGGCCAGGAAAAGTAAAATTTTATAAAAAATTTTCCTGACATACTGTAAATCATATATTTTTGTGGGGTCAAATTTTTGAGATTCGAGGAAAAAATTGGTTTGTGGGGATTTAATTTTGTGAGTTGGAAAATGTGCAATTTCATAGCAGTGATAAATTTGTTGGTATCTCCCTACTTCCAAAACAATGAAAATTAACCCCCCACGAAAATTAGTTATTTCACAGTAGTATTGATTCATTTTCATGCCCTCGTAAATGAAGTTTCGGAGGTATATAGTTTGTCGTGTCAGTCCACCTGTCTTTCTGTCTAGCTGTCTGTCTGTTTGTCTGCAAAAACTTTAACCTTGCCCATTACTTTTGATTTAGTGGAGATATGACTTTCATATTTCACATGTATATTGCTTATGATATGACCTTTCTTTGGGTACCACAAAATTTGACTTTTTGACCTTTACTTCAGAGTTTGACCCACTTTTACACAAAAATTCTTAACTTTTACCTGGCCACATATGTAATCCTTGTGAGAAGACACTTTATTGGATACCAAGAACTTTGACCTTAACCCTGGTGTTTGACCTACTTTTTTAGTTCACCTGAGCCGAAGGCTCAAGTGAGCTTTTCTGATCAAAATTTGTCCGTTGTCTGTCGTTGTCGTTGTTGTTGTCATTGTTGTCGTTGTCGTCGTCGTCGTAAACTTTTCACATTTTCTTCTTCTTCTCAAGAACCACTGGGCCAATTTCAACCAAACTTGGCACAAAGTATCCTTGGGTGAAGGGGATTCAAGTTTGTTCAAATGAAGGGCCACGCCCTTTTCCAAGGGGAGATAATCATGAATTTGTTAAAAATTAATGGCATTTTTAAAAAATATTCTTCTCCAGAACCGCTGGGCCAGGAAAGATGAAACTCGTGTGGAAGCATCCTCAGGTAGTGTAGATTCAAGTTTGTTCAAATCATGACCCCCGGGGCAAGGGTGGGGCCAAAAACCCAAGTTTTACATAGGAATATATAGGAAAAATCTTTAAAAATCTTCTTCTCCAGAATCACTGGGCCAGGAAAGATGAAACTCATGTGGAGTCATCCTCAGGTAGTGTAGATTCAAGTTTGTTCAAATCATGACCCCCAGGGCAAGGGTGGGGCCAAAATGGCCGACCCAAGTTTTACATAGGAATATATAGGAAAAATCTTTAAAAATCTTCTTCTCCAGAACCACTGGGTCAGGAAAGATGAAACTCATGTGGAATCATCCTCAGGTAGTGTAGATTCAAGTTTGTTCAAATCATGACCCCCAGGGCAAGGGTGGGGCCAAAATGGCCGACCCAATTTTTACATAGGAATAATCTTAAAAAATCTTCTTCTCCAGAACCACTAGGTCAGGAAAGATGAAACTCATGTGGAATCATCCTCAGGTAGTGTAGATTCAAGTTTGCTCAAATCATGACCCCAGGGGCAAGGGTGGGGCCAAAATGGCCGACCCAAGTTTTAAATAGAATATATAAGAAAAATCTTTAAAAATCATCTACAGAACCACTGGGCCAGGAAAGATGAAACTCATGTGGAATCATCCTCAGGTAGTGTAGATTCAAGTTTGTTCAAATCATGACCCCCGGGGCAAGGGTGGGGCCAAAATGGCCGTGACCCAAGTTTTACATAGGAATATATTGGAAAAATCTTTAAAAATCTTCTTCTCCAGAACCACTGGGCCAGGAAAGATGAAACTCATGTGGAATCATCCTCAGGTAGTGTAGATTCAAGTTTGTTCAAATCATGACCCCCGGGGCTAGGGTGGGGCCAAAATGGCCGACCCAAGTTTTACATAGGGATATGTAGGGAAACCTTATAAAATCTTCTTTTCAAGTACTTCAAAGCTATGATTAGTGATATTTATATGGAATCATCCTCAGGTAGTGTAGATTCTATTTGTTCAAATGATGAACGCCTGGAGGGGGGGGGAGTAAATTCAAGCCTGATGTGCTCAGGTGAGCGCTGTGGCCCCTGGGCCTCTTGTTTGAATAATTTTTGAAGAGTTAGAACTAGGGCTTTCATACTTCACATATTTAATACTTGTGACACGATCTTAAATTTGATATCAATAATCTTAACCCTTTGACCTTGACCTTGGAGTTTGACCTATATTTACATAAAAATTCCAAACTTTTACTTTGGTCCTAATTTTTGAATGGTAGATACTAGGAATTTCATATTTCAAATATCAGTTCTTTGTGGCAAGACCTTTTATTTTAAATCAACAATTTTGACCTTTTGACATTGAAGATTTCCTTACTTATGAAAAAACTTTAAAGGCCAGCAATTGGGTATAAAAGCAACCAGTCGGTGAAAATGGTGGAGGATATGAATTTTCTGGTCACATTCAGATTGCAGCACTTATTTTGCAAAAAACAAGATTCAACAATTTTATTATAAGTTCAAAATTGTTATGCTAGTTCCTCTCATCAGTGAGCATTTATTTGTCAGATTTGTTTTATATATAAAAATTTATTAGATTATAATTCTGGCTTCAAAAAATTGAAGCAGGGCTGATTTTGTATTTCAAACTAAAGATTGGCAGTTGTGCAAAAAAACGACGGCATCTTAACATCCAGACATGTCTTAAACTTATTAGAACCCGACACTCTTAATGAAGCATTTGGTCAGTTGCTCATTTGTTAAATTAATTAAGAGTGTTTCGGCAGTATTAATAGCACATGTCATTTTATAATTGTGATACGGCCTGCCATCATCAGGGGTCTACCGTATGCATAAATCAATCAATTTCTTTGAACTTGATTTGATTTTAATTTGGATCTAATGATAAGATCGCCTATATTCTTGTGTTTGCTTATGCCACCATAGGGGGTGTTGTGAATGATTCTTTGCATACATCGTCGTCAAGTATGTAACTCCAATATTTCATAAGTCGTTTCCTTAACCCCTTTAAACTTGTTAAACTTGTTAAACTTGGTGACCAAAGCGTTTGGTACAGCCTTTTTGTTGTTTTTCTTCTTTGATTTTTTAAGAAGATCCATTCTATTTGCAGAGTAGTTTCTTGCATAATAGGTTCAATTTCTGAATGTTTATAACCTCTTTTTTCGAGATGAGTTTTGAAATGAGATTTAAAATCCAGTACAGCTTGATCACTAGTATTTCTCAGATGTCTGGTACATTCTCCTTTAATTAGGCCCTTGAAAACTGATGGGCTATGAGCACTTTGCCTGTGCAGGTATTGGAAGCTGTTAGTAGATTTGATATATGAGCGAATGTCTAATTGCTGGCTATCTAGGAATCTTGTTCCTTTGTAAATAGTAGTGTCTAAGAAGTTGAGACTGGTGTGAGATATTTCATAAGTAAATCTCAAATATTTATGACAAGAGTTCCTAACGTCAAAAAATTCTTTAATATCATCCA